GTGATATAACATGACGTGGTATGGTATGATATGATATGATGTGTTAATGATAAGATATAATATGGAGTTTTGCCTTACATAGTCTTTATAAAGTTGGTGTATGCTCCTCCTATACATAATTTCCTCTGGGTTTTTATGATGAAAGGATATTGAACTCCATCAGAATCATTTCTGGCATGTCTTTGCGATAACTCTGTGGTTTCTGTCTCAATAGATGTTCATTTAAGAACCATCCTTGTTTTCTTGGAATGGAACCAAGTTAATCATGGCTAGTTAATGTGTTAATGTATCAGCTATGTTGGTTTTCAAGTATTCTATTGAGATGATTATGTCTATGTAAGTCACTAAATTTGTCCCATCATTTATTGTAGGTGCTCATCTTGCTTTGATATCAGAGGTGAGTTATGGTATCGTAGAACCAGTTTCTAGTCTTCTTTTATTATTTTATGCAACAGATTATGGACCATTGGTGTTAATGTCTCTTTATATGTTTGGGAGAAGGGTATGGAATCCATCTGGTCTGACCCTTTGCTTCTTTGGGAGAGGTTATGGCTAATTCAGTCCCATTTCTTTTCAGTCGTATTTTCATGCTTTTTATATATAACCTCGGGTTAGTTTTGGGAATCTAAGTGTATAAGATCAATCATTTCTTACAATATTAATGTCTCCATAATGTTCTTTAATTATCCTTTCTATTTCAGTAGTAACAATTCTAATAATGCATTTTTCATCTATAATTTTATTAATTCAGGTGATCGCTCTCATTGGTTAGTTTACCAAGAAATTTATCTGTCTTCTATACTGTTTCAAAGAACAAGCTTTGCTCAGTGAGTCTTCGTATTCTACCATTAGTCATTATTTATTATTATTATTTTATTATTATTAATTTCTGCCTGAACTTCGTGGTCGCTCTGTGACCCTAGCTGGCCTGGAACTCACCCTGTATATCAGGCTGGCCTGGATTTCACAGAGATCCTCCTGCTTCTACCACCCAAGTACTGGGATTAAAGGTGTGAGCCACCATGGCAGCAGAGAGTTTTAACAACTACAACTGCTCAGAGAAGATGGGAGCCCCCTCCCAGGTGCCTATTCTCAAATCACTGCATGAAGACAGCAACCCTACCGTGTGTTTCCAAGACAACCAGCCTAAGTTATACCCGTGGAGGACAGAAGAGGCTGTCAGATCCCCTGGGAATGGAGTTATGGACAGTTGTTAGCTGCTATGTGGGTGCTGGGATTCGAACCTGGGTCTTCTGCAAGAACAGTCAGTATTCTTAACCGTTGAGCCATCTCTCCAGCCCCCTTGACTCCATATTTTAAAATGTTTTCCTTGATTTAATCAGTGACCTACTGCACCATTCATTTTGTGAGTGTTTGTATCTAATGTTCGATTTCTAATTTAATGCACTGTATTCTATAAGCTACAACGGGTTATTTTAATTCATTTGCATTTAAAAGCAACTTCATGGCCTAAAATGAGACCTGTCATAGTGCAATGTATGTGTCAGTGGCAATACGTAGTTGGATTCTGTTTCTTCATGCAGTCATCGGTCCTGCATCTTGAATTAGAGAGTTACATCATTTTCATTTAAAGCTCTCATTGACGGAGACATTCTACTTGCTGTAATTAGGATGGTTCATTCTCTGAGCTGTTGGGTTGTTGTTTGTTCTTTCATGTTTTCACATCTTCCTATTAGAGATTTTCTGGATTACTTGTAGGATATGTTTGCTTATTTCTTAGTTCCCCATTTTTGTGTATCTTCATGCTTTTCTTCCTTCCTATGTTCTCTCCATGGAGACTTTCCTTCTTCCTAGTCTACGTGTAGGATTTCTTTAAGTACTTTCTGCAATACTGCTTAGTACTCATGAAATGTTTGTTTAAGCTGCTCTTAAAATGTGCTAACACCTTGGTTCTATCAACACATAACTTTATGGGATAGCACAGCTTTGGCTAATATTTATTTGCCTTCAGCTCTTGAAACAAAGCATTCTATTCTGTCATGGCTTTTAGGTTTTCAATGAGAAATGCCATGTTTTTCAAATGTATTTTCTTTCTAAGAAAGTTAGCACAAGTACACACACATGCACACGCACACACAGAACAGATTTTTCTACTATTAATCATAGTACTGTTTTGACTGTGTGTGTGTGTGTGTATGTGTGTGTGTGAGAGAGAGAGAGAGAGAGAGATTGTGTCTTCTTATTGTGACCAAGTATATGAGAAACTTAAGTGAAAAAGGATTACTATTTCTCAAAATTTAAAGCTACACAGCACAACTATTATTCTCTCTCTCTCTCTCTCTCTCTGTGTGTGTGTGTGTGTTCAAAGAAGTGTCTCTCACTGATGAAATAACGGCATGAATATTATGACGTTAACCAACAGTTCTTTAATTGTATTTAAGGTCTGCTTCCTGGGATGGAGCCCTTATCTGACAGTGATAGCAGACTTAGGAACCTGAGGCCAAACAGGACACAGGACATAAGGGAGAACTTTCTATCAGTTTTCTACTCAATAGTTACCATATCGAACTGACTCCTAATGACTTATTGTTATACCCTTACATTATTGCATCTCTCAACTCTCACCAGAGAAGTTTCCTTATGCAACGGGTGGTAATTAACACAGAAACTCACAACTTGCCAACACGTAGAGAACAAGAGGCTGCAGAGTGCTTATCTATCAATAGGACAACTACGTCAAACCTCTGCCTTCCGTGGCTCAGGGATCACTGTGGAAGAGTGGCAAAAATACTGTAAGAGTCAGAGGTGGTGGATGATCACAAGGAAACAAAATATTCCAGGCAGCTGGTCAGTTACTCATATGAATTCACAGCAATGGTGACAGCGTGCACAAGTCCCATGCAAGCTCAAATCAGAGAAACAGCCCAGCATAGACATGAGGAGCTAGGTAAGAAGCCCCAGTCCACCTAAGGAAATGGTGGTAATAGATGGCTGCTGGGAGGGGCAGAGACAATCTTTTTCAAGAATGGGATTCTTGGTAGGTAGCCAGATTCCTGGACCCACACTGAAGGATTTTTAGAGACACAAATTAGACTCCATAAGCTTTATTATATTTACATAATAAAGCAATAGGAAGAGGTGAAGATTTGGGAGAGGCTCTAAATATCATCAAATTATATTGTATGAAAATCACAAATATTCAATGAAAAATACAGTAAAAGAAATTAGTTTTGGAGTAGTGTTCCTATAAGCATCAAAAATATTTGTTGTGTAGTACAAACTGTTCTTAATTTCAGACACGCAGAGTGGTAGAGCTACAGAAATCCATAGGTGAAAGAAAGATGTCAAATGCAATAGAAACTTCCAGGAAACCAAGTGAAAAAGAAAAGGAAGGAAAACACAGAACACAGTCTAAAAATTTATGCAATGTTTCTAAACAGCATGATATCCATCACACCCTGTCTTTTACTGTTTTCCGTTCCTTTGATTCTTGCCCCATAATCCTATATTCTTCATTCCAATCAATCCATTAGTCTTATGTCAAGCTGTTGCACGCTCTCTCTCTCTCCCTCTCCGCCCCCCCGCCCTCATTGCCTAGAAATCCTGGCATATTCCTGACACTTGCTGGAAATAGATCCTGGAAATCCAATGGTCTTTACGGAGCTCTGACAGTGAGATGCAACTTCATTCTAGAGTGGTTAGAAGCAGTTAAGAAGTTGAGTTCCACTAAGCCAATCACAGCTATCTAGACTAAAAATACAGAATATTAGGTATTTATCTTCATATTGGGGGAGTATTGGTGTTAATGTCCTACTAAGTAATGTTGTATGATTGATTATAATGTGATTTTTCCTGGATGAAATTAGTCATGGGATTTAAGAAAAGGAGAATGCCTTCTCTCAGTCCTCTGGTGAATGTGTGTGCTAATGAACCAGCTTCTGTTCTCCTCAGGATCTACATGAACAGGAGGAGGAGAGAAGTTGTGAAGCTTCCAAAGGAGCTCAGCAGTGACCCATGCTGTTTCCCTTTGCACTGTGGGTGCCTGAGATCCACATGTCAGTCAGCAGGAAACTTTGACCATGTCTTTGGTCATTTGCCTTCAGGGTAAAGAGACCTGAGACAGAGGCTATGAGCACGGTGCAGATCTCAGAGCTTTGGAATGGATAACAGAATTCAGCCAGGGAATGTTCCCTGATAAATATAACTGGGGGTTTTCTCATTAGGTGTCATGGGCAAACAAACACCAGAGTGTCCCTTGAAAAAGGCATCTGTCACTGAGAGGGAATTCAAACTGAGACCTCTGATATCACCACATAAATATATGACGGCAGAATTTTCTGATTTTATCCTCTCCGTTCTGTCGAAGTCAAAAGAACAAATGTGAGAAAGGACAGGAAGAAGCGTTGTACCGTCTGAACATATCTACGTTTCCCGACGTGCGACTTCAGTCACGGGACCTCAGTGGGGATGTGCTGGATAAACTGAGTATTGGGGGAAGTTGAAACCAGAGCAAATGAGACTTGTGAGGCACAGAACAAAACATATTGACTATGTCTAAGGTGACGCTAAAGGTTTGAGAAAGCAGGGAAGGTGGTTGGAGAAGACGGTTAGAGAAATCAGGAGCCATTTCAGGTTTGCACCCTAAGAAGTTCTGTTCAAAATACACTCTGAAGTTACTCATGGTGCAGCTGCAAGGGAATTGGTTTTTGTTTTTGGTATTGCACTGTGAAAATTGGCTTATAGAACCTGCTGATTTTCTTCAGGTCTTCCAGTATTTCCAAGTCCTTAGTAGCATGATTTTATTTTTAATATTGACACCACTCCTTGATTTTAAGAACTTTACCCACAGAAAATTACTGTGATTCCAAATTCAGCTGTAATTTGTCTCATTCATGGATACAATATCTCCTGTCTGTGTTGTCAGGGATTTCACTGGTATTGTGTTTGGTATTAAATAAACAAAAGACGATGAGAAATTTTATTTTTTACATTTTGATACATTTGGGTTTATTTTTCTTTTTAAAATAGACATGTCACACTGAAGCATGCCTTCAAACAGTATATAAACAAATCTTCAAAAGAAAGGATCATCAAATACCATCTCTAAGCCCTAAGGAGTTGCATATTTTGTCAGGAATAAGCCTACACCTCAGAAACTTGAGATAAAGTTCAAGTGAATATGTGTCAACCCCCAGGCAGTCATACAATTTAAAAACAGCAAAAAATTGAGATTCTTCATCCACTTCCTGCAAGTACGAAATCTCGGTGTAGACGCTGTAGTCATTCTCTTCGATTCCGGGATCAACCTAATCACCAATATGATAGTCAGTCACTTACTGTTTACATGCTTCTTTTGTGTGTTAATTTTCTTTCTAAATTCTCAATTAGATTTCAAGAAATGCCCAGAATGTGGCTCTTCAGTCCCAGGCATGGAATTCCGTGTGTCTACCATGGGGTGCTCTAAATCTGTAAGTCATCTAAAAACTCAAAGCATGACCCATATACTAATTTTCTAGCCCTAAAATGATTCCAGATGAAGTATTTCTTTTGCAGCCATGCAAATGGAGGAATGGGAATTTGCCACTTGAGCCTAGACTTGTGTTTGGCAAAGACCAATGGATGCTGACAGGGCAGGGGTAACTGTGATGGGAAGGGCTAATGAGAAATTTTGGAACAGTTCACTCTGCCCATGAAAGATACTGTACAAATTGTGGTGGGGAACAATTATGTTTTTATGTCTGTCCCTTAAGATGGGCCATGCACGCAAGACTGGGTGCCTAAATTTTGTTCTTGCGAACTGAGGTGCTCCTAATTTGTCATTCAATCCAGAAACTTCCTCGTTCAGAACGAGAAAAGCAAAGAGTAAGAAGACAGCTCACCTTCATGGCTACCAGTCGGATGACTTCCAGAAGCTCTCTGTTTTCAGCTTCAATGCCTTGGGCTCTTGACAGAATTTCATTAGGGGCTCCCGGCATAGCCCTGAGCTCAGTCACTAGGTACTGCAGGGTGTGCTTCCAGGTTCCCACTTGAATGAGTATGGCTTCCAGAAAGTCTTCAACCTAAGCACAGGTAATTGAGAGGGCACACTAAGAGCAGTGAAATACAGACGTGGTTACATGTGCTTTGTCATCAGACAGGCAAAACTAAAATACCCATTTGTAGTTCTTATGGGATGTTAGACTTTGACGAAAATGATATAGCTCTGTAAATTTAAACAATTTACCTAGCTTCCTAAAATTAAAACTGAGCCATTATATTGATCATGTAGTTTCCCATCTGTAATTCTGTAATCTGTCATTCAATTAAGATATTACACATTCGATTGATTTGTTTGTTCATGAGAACGCATGAAGCCTTTTACTGGGACACAGTAGGTTCCCAGAAGACCTGTTTCAGAAAAGATAAATGTCACCAGTATCAATGGCAAACCATTTAACTCAAATTCATCACACTAATAAATTAGACAGTTTACAGTCATACTCATTTTAGGTGATTTTAGGACATTAATAGAAAGACACCATGAGCAACAAATCCCATGGTGTATGCAGGTAAAGAACTATGACACCCTTTGCCTTTAATAACAATATTTGTGTGAATCACAATTTAGTTTTCAAACTTGAGTATGTATTCATTGCCAGCTTCATGCATGAAACTCGTATCTGGTGACTGGAGAGATGGCTCAGAGGCTCAGAGCACTGGCTGCTCTTGCAGAGGACCGAGGTTCAGTTCCCAGCACCCACATGGCGGCTAACAACCATTGCTGATTACAGTTCCAGGGGATCTGATGCCCTCTTCTGACTCTACAGGCATTGCATGATACAGGTGCGCTTACATACATGCAGGCAATATACTCATGCACATAAAAAATACAAATAAAATATTTTTTAAAAAAAAACACTGATGGCAAAAAAGTTACTGGGACATGGTGGCCTATGATTAAGCATGAGGGATTAAGAGTGAGGGATTAAGAATGAGGGATTAAGCATGAGGGATTAAGCATGAGGGATTAAGAGTGAGGGATTAAGAGTGAGGGATTAAGATAGATGAAGCCCATGTTTGCATCCCAAGTGGTCGTGCTGGTGGTAAAATTTCTGTAAAACCTTTCGAAATCTTGGTCTCCTCATCTCAGTTATATTCTATGACACAAAACTGTAGTGATGTCAATAAAGGGCATTGTGAAGTACATTACCATGGAGCATCATCCCTTCCTCCTCTTCCCCCACTTTCCCCAGTTGCTTTCACATGACATTTAAATCAGTTCACTGGAGGACAAGTTATGTCAGGAAACCAGAACAGAGAGATAACAATGATCAATTCCAGCTTCTGTGACTTGTAGACTTTCTCATCACAACGGAGGGAATGGTTTCATTCTGAGGAACACTACACATTACTGGTAGAACCCTTCTATTCCAAATCTTTCAGTTCATTAGAGGAACAGAAGTGTTAGGGAGAAATAAACAGAATGAAGGAGAAGTAGAATCAGGAGTCTTCAAAGTCAAGAACAGTTGGTACGGTGCTCCACCATGAGAGCTGTTGCCACTGTGGGGCGTTAGGAAGGCAGAGTGAAATCAATTGTGTTTGCATTCCTTAAGCATTTACATGAATGTATATAAACATAGATGTGCAACATTGTTCAAAAATTTCCTACAGAATAATGAGTAAAATCCCAGTGGCAAGACATTGGTAAAATACGATCCTCTAACTGCACGATGTATGACTTTGCTACAGTATTATTTAATGTTTTACTTTACTTAGAGTTGACCTACTATTTAATGGGAGTTTTCTTTGGCTGCTTACAGATGTAATTATCACAAGCGATAGAGTGCTTATAATAGCCTGCAGCATGGCAAATCCAGTGCACTGCTTATGTTTCTTTAGGTGGAAAAAGAAAGTTGACTTACTGAGAACTTTTTGGCTTCTTCTAGGTTTGCCGGAGCATAGAAGGAAAAGTTGTGACAGACACTGTAAACATTACCCATGAAGTCCATGTCCTTGTAAAACATTAACATCTGAATGTATAGAATAAAAATTCAGTTATTTCTGTTTTAGGAAATGAGAAAATGAATCAATGACTCAATTATTAATGCATTTAGTAGATGTGAATTCTGCATATGAGAACCAACCAAAATAAAAAAAAAAAAACTCCTATAATTTACTACACTGAATTGAATCCCTAAGATTTCCAAAACTAGAATCTAGAAAGTGTTTTAAAAATCTTTTTACTCTAGGATTTAAGCCCAATGCCGTAGATCACATGTAAATATAAAAATAATCTTGTTTGTCCAAACTGGTATTTCTCTTTTTTAAGTAGCTATTATAATGGTCTATGTTTTCTTTCTACTGCCTTTGTATATATACACTTATATTTTACAAAGCTAAAGATCCTTATCCTTTTGGTTGTGAGCTTCAGTCTGTAGTGGCTGTACCAGCTCTCCAACCTAAAGTGAAAGATTCTGAACAAAAGTTTATACCTGTGAAAATGTTTTCTGGAGCTGGAGACATCGCTCAGTGGCTAAGAGCAGTGGCTGCTCTTGCAGAGGACCTGCTTAGGTTCCCAGCACCCACATGGTGGTTTGAAACTGTCTTTAACACCAGTTCCAGAGGATCAACGCCCTCTTCTGGTCTCCTCAAGCACTGCATACATAAGGATGTCCTTGAGTACGCCCAGGTAAAGCACTCATACACAAAAAATACATATAATATTTTAAAAATGCTTTCTTAAAACAGTGGCTATTTGGGGGCATAATAAGCAATAAAATTATAAATATAAAAATATTAATTAATGTTTACATATTAACAAATATGTAATTACTTAAATAATATTCTTATTTTAATATCAGTAATCTAAAAGTAATAATCAGCTAATTTGCTAAAGTTTAATGGATTACAAGGAATGCTAAGAATCTGAAAGGTTGTCATTCAAAGGAGGGAAATGGAGACAACATGAGTTCACATTTAGTGCGAGTGTGGACACACTCTCCCTGGATCTACTGAAGCTTTAGTTGTTTTCTCCCTGACACTGGCTCACGTTGAACACAGCATCTAGCCTTCAGGAAGACAAAGCCTATTTTCACTTCCTAAACCCGCCTTCCTACTAAATAAAACATCGCAGAGACATTTAAAGTTTGATTCCTAATATTTGAGGTTGCCTGAAAAGATGTCACTTTCTCTTCTCCTTCCCGACAGCCCTTCAGTTCGGTTTAGTTCTGTTCCCTGCCTACCACTTACTAGAAGGCAGTTGTACTTTACCCGGCATCAGCAGTGCGCTAAGTGATGGATGCCACGTGAATTCGGAAATGAGTTCCCCCACAAATCTTAATAGCACTGCAGCATAAGTATAAACATTAAAATCAAGCTAAACCATGTTTAGAGAAAAGCTTAATAAACCATCACATTCCTTGCAAATCAGATTTCCTGAAGCTCTTCCACTTTTAGAGTCTGAGGCTCTGTTTTCCCTGTGTATTATTCGAAACGTTTGACAGTGAGGTGGTCTCCACTCCTTAGTGCGAAGGCTTTTGTTGGAAGATGGAAGCAGTGAGGTACTTACAAATTCGTGGTACATTTTTGAAGAGAAGTCACTGTTGCTCTGAGAGAAGTTGAAGGAAATGAAAAGAAAACGTGAGTGAACAGCTGTGTGAGTGCGTCTTCATCCCGCGCCAGCCACACCTTCTCAAAGCCGACATTGCAGTTACAAAGTCTAGCCTACTTTTGTGCTTAATATTGACCTCAAAACTCATATACCCAAGAGGAAGGGAGGACCCGTTTCACTTCTGAATGAGCTCTCCCACTCTTGATAACCTCACGTACTGGACGTCTTTAAAGACTGTTTTCTCCCTCCTTGAAATATCCCAGTTTAGATTAGGCCTGCTCATTTCACGGGACCCACGGAGATGCCTTCTGTACTGGACGTCTGCAGCTTACTGAACGGAAACGAAAATGAACGGCCACCTGCTGTGTCGCACACAAAGAAATTAGAGCTGTTCCCCAGCTGCATCTCCTCAGGGTCATGCAACAAATGTTAATTTCAGGGGGAAAAAAAGTTCTTTAAATAGTTAAGTACAGACAAATTTTTTAAATCATTGAATTCTTGAAAATCTCTGATTTCATGAAACTCTCATTCTCTTACTACACTTGTTAGTAGCTAAATGTGTTTCTAACATCCACTAAAAGTATTCTAGTAGCTATCTGGTTCATCTTAATTTTAAATGTGATGCAGTAAATCTTTGGAAAGAGGTTAATTTGAGGAAGAAAACAGAGGTGAATAAATTACTTACAAACAGCTGGTTCATTTCCTTATTGAGGTCATTGATGTGATAATTTAGTTTCATGGCCTTGTCCAATAAGTCTTGGAGTGAAATGTCTCCACCATCAGCCCCATTGTTATGGATGGGCACCAAGCACACCTTGTCCCACAGGAGAAGATTTGACACCAGCAGCAGCAATGTCACTGATGTATAGAAACAGAAGATGCTGAGATCTGCTCATCTGAGGTTATCTGCAGTAATTCTATCTTAGCTCTCAAGAGTAATTTCACCTCTGCCCAGAGCCACTGTACAGTTTGGTACTCTAGAGGAAATGAGTCACTAAACAACTTTTATACTGAGAACTTAATCACATTTCTATAGACACAGAGTGTTAATACGAAAGCACAACTTTCATCTCAAAGCAGATCCAGGTTATCCCAAATTCCATGTTCCAACGTGGTAACAGTTTCATGAAGTTTTTATACTAACAGAACAAAGTCATGAATCAAGACACTTTGCAAATGCATTGGTGGAAACATTGAGTACACGGTTACAGCAAAAGATAAATCTCAGTTATAGGCCTCAGATGCTCTCTGATGACACTCAGTCTTTTGGTTTGTGGAAATTGGTGGTCTGTTAAATAAATACATTCCAAAATACTTTTTATCTGCTATTAACAGGATGTTAATTAAGAGACAAAGGTGGGTAAGGAGTGACTATTTAGGGGGCTAAAGGTGCCCCAAGATAAATGGTAATTAGACTCTGGACTTTTAACACTCCCATTTCTCCACAATTACTGAAGTTCTAGTCAGTTGATAGGCTTTTGCAGAATGTTCAGTTATAAGATTCTGTTTTTCTAGGAATTTTCATTCAAAATAGTCTGAGAATTGGTATCTTTCCTCATTACTATCTAAAATAACTGAAAGTTTGACAAGTTTAGGGCTTAAATGTTAATGCAGGCTTTGAAGGCGTTCTCTGTGGGTATCAATGCCTTGGGAAGCTATGACCATGTTCAGTGGTGGTATCTTTCCTCATTACTATCTAAAATAACTGAAAGTTTGACAAGTTTAGAGCTTAAATGTTAATGCAGGCTTTGAAGGCGTTCTCTGTGGATATCAATGTCTTGGGAAGCTATGACCATGTTCAGTGACCACTGTCTCTGAGACTTTGGTTTTTAGTCAGTGTGAAATATTTATACTTTGACAAGGACAGTGCACTTCCTGTCTGGTTCTTCTTCATGTCTAGTCAGAATAAATTGGGATTTCCCCCTTGAACAATACTGAGGAAGGATAGGACTCTGTCATTTTAAAAAGATTTTTTATGTGTCTTGAGTGTTTTACCTGCATTAACA